GACAGACAGACAGACAGACAGATAGATTGTTTGATAGATTGATGTGGATGAGGATCACCCATGGAGGGGTCACGGAAATCGCGTTTAGCCATTAGGTCATATTTAAAGCCGGGCTATAATGCGGCCCCTGGCAAGAGCCAGGGTGGGGCTTCAAAATAACAAAAAATTGCATATCACATAGGGATGGGGTGTTATATAAACAGTATAATTAAAGTGACTGTTTATAAACTTAACTCAGAAAAGTAATATTCAGCAAATCTATCTGGACCATTTATTGTTTGCTGTTTTTACTCTTAAGAAGTGTAGACTGGATTTTACCAGATTTACAACTACAATGGTAGTTACTTTATTGCAAAGAATAACTTTAATTTCAATTTTGCTATCTTGTGGATGTGGAAATAAAGGGAAGAACATTTAGTTCCTGAAAAGAAACATGCAAAAACTTTGTTATTTCCCTTACTACTGACTTGAATTTATGTAGCTTCACACAAGGCTCCGATTCTATTAAAGGCCTATAGTGATAACTTGTGACCAAAGTCAGGTTCCAAAATTGGCCTGCATTTAAGTTTCTAATCAAAGACAGCTGTTTGTCTTGTCCAACATTATTGTTTACAAATCTCTGACACAATCCACCCAAAGGAAAATTCAGTAATTCAATTATTTGTGAACAATAAAATGAGGTATGGCAATTCTAGAAATGAGATTGTCATTTTCATTTATAAATGCATAATTTCTCTTGTACAAATCCAGCAAATGGTTCATTCATTGTCCCCATTCAGGATACATTTTTGTTGCTGTTGTTGACATTCCGTCAACCCTTTTGGGATGCAATGTTTTGGCTCTTGTCAGGGACCGCAATATAGAACAGCCATAAATATTGTCTAATGGCTGAACGCGGTTTCTGGGACCACTCCACGGTGATCCTCATCCACATGGTCTCACTTTGTGTCATCGGGTGTTTATCGCTTGTGTGATGTCCTGGTGGGGTAGAAAGTCAGTCAGTCAACCTCGTAGTGTGTCACTTTGTCTGCTGTTTCAATCGCTGTGAGGAACATTTACCATCGTGAAGTTCACAGAGCAAATTATTATAGACCCGCTGTGGTATGGAGGTCAACGTCCCTGAGAAGATGAAATTAACCTGTCCGAGACGGGATCAACATTAAGCCGCTTGCGTAGTTTAACAGTTGTGTAGGTGTGTGTGTGTCGGCTCTGTGGCTAAGTCGATGCGAACGCTTCGTAATGCCGGGATGCCAGGTTCGATCCCAGCTGCGGGCCATGCTCCTTGCGTTGGTTTCGACAGTGGTATCAGGGGGCCGACCGTCCAGTAGGCAATGGCAAACTACTGGACGTAAATTTGCCTAGAGAAACCACACAACAGCCAGGGGCAGCTGGGTTGGTTCTGCAACGTCCTGTAAAGGATACGCAACTAACCGAAGTGTGTGTGTACGGTGTTATTTATGTTTTAGACACGCTGGGGCACAGCAGTCAGTATAAAGACCCTTTCGCACGCTTTTGCGTGTACTGGGCATATCGAGTTAGGCCTGTATTTTGGAGATCAATCCCCACCCAGTAGATGCTATAGGCAACACCACGCCGAACGCTTTTACTTCCCATTTCCTGTTACCGATTTATGGTGGGCAGCCAAGGTCAGTATTTGCTTGAATAGTCTGGCTTCTTTTGGATTTGAACCCTTTACGCGAGCTTGTTCTGTTTAAGGTAGATGTGGACGCCATAACGTCTTATCTACCGATTGGTGTAGCCTCACCTCCCCCCCCCCCCTCCTTTTTTCCCACCCTTCCCGATTTAGTTTTTTTGTCAACAGCACTTTTGTTACCATTTTGTCAATCCAACACCCACCCACCCAATATTTTGCTTACAGAAGAATCGGTTATCTTCTGAATAACAGTCTCAAATGTTCGAGGCCGAAAATATACCCTAACAGGGCCTCAGTCAGATGTAAATTGCGCACTTCCGGCGACTACCACCACCGTCGAGAGTATCTTGGACGGACTGGGGCTAAACTAGATAGATTGGACTCACGAGAAGCAGCTACTGCATCTCCTGCAGCTTCCTTCATTTGTTGTTATTGTTGTTGTTGTTGCTCGTGAGACCTAGCCATCTAGTTTAGCCCCCACTCCACGTCACACATAGCGGCGTGAGAGATACATGTAACTGAGGACCTGTTAGGGTATATTTTCGGCCTTGATAATTTGAGACCGGTATTGGGAAGATAGCCGAAGAATCAGACTGAGAGTTTATGCTAGCTGGTCTCAAGTACGGAATTGCACACTTCCTTAGTCTCCAGATCACCAGCCATCAGGATAATTTAAAATAAATAATCAACAGAGAAACACTTTTCTGCATAGTGTATTTATAGTTCACAATTGAAAATCCTTTTTTTTTCGCAAAATATGTAGTTTCTGGACATATATTATATATTTACTGAGTAAAATAATTACAAATGAAAATGGCTGGTTTGAACACAAACACAGGAAACAGAATGAGCACTTCAGCTAGAAAGCTTTCGTCAGCACATAAAATTTGATAAAAAAAAGGTAACACGACAATAGCAAAATAAAATCTAATAAAAGTCACTTAGCTGTAAAACATGGATACCAAAGAAATCTGAACTCTCAGGACAGAACAAATAACCTTTTCTCCTTCAAACCTTTATTACATTTACTGAATCTGTTCCCCCTGGTGGTTTGCAGTACCGGCACCGTTTTTAAGGAATCGTTTTCGTCAGCACTATTGTAATAGACATCGTGTGGTCCTTACCGGAACCTTGTATCAGACACTTTATGGTGAGTACTAGCACTTATTTTTCTAGGACAGAAAGTCTGGCATTTGCGTTTTCGATCAAAAGCTTTTGAATCTGAAACCATTTATTGGCTGAGTCTAAAAGGGTTATTACCGTACAGCAGGGATGCCGACACAAAGAAACTGTTGTAGGTGAGCCTTGGGGGCGCTCAGCCGTCTTAGATATTGTCTACCGGGAGGGATCGTGAAGCGGGGCTTGGGGGGGGGGGGGGGTATCCCTGAGTCCCCAGGTTCCAGTACCCCTGGCACAGAGACACCATAAGACAGAAACAGTTTTATACACATTTCAGCCATAGTGGCTTAATAAAGCAACTGTATGTCAAAGTAAGTCTCTGGTTCAAACCCCGGATGAAGGCTGATTTTTTTTTACGTGGTCTTCTAGTATTTTTCCTGGTCTTTGTGTAGTAAGACCAGGACGCCAGTGTGTATTGTTGCGCACGCAAAAAAATACCTTAGCAGTCGAAAATCGAAAAGAGTAGCATAATGGCGCTGCCCGAGCAAAATTTTGAGTTAAAAATCTACCCATAGTACTTCAAGATCCTCCCCGGTGCAACGGAGTTCGTGCACAGCGCTGAGGCTCTTCAGACTCAGGATTGAGTTAGAAGTAGAACGGAGCACTTATGGGCTGCACCCGTGTGCCATGATGTTGATCTGTTGAGTAAACAAACAAACAAACAAACAAACAAACACACAAAGCCGTAACCTTTTTTAAACCAAACTACGAATTTTCAGTTCTAATATTTCAGTTTTAACATATGCCAGTATAGGTTGGAGAAACATTAAAAACATGAAACGAAAGTTCAATGCATTCGAAAATAACTGCCTGAGGAAAATAACGAAAAGAATGATAACTAAGAAACCTATGGTAAGGTCTTTCGAAACCAAAAGAGTTAGCCTCTGTGCAAAGACTTGCATAGGCCGTGACAAGATTTCAAAGCACAATCACGACAACAAAAACTAGTAAGCTAGACTTGCATAGGCCGTGACAAGATTTCAAAAGCACAATCACGAAAATAATGAACTAGAAAGCTGGACTTGTATAGGCCGTGACAAGATTTCAAAGCACAATCACGAAAACAATTAACTAGAAAGCTGGACTTCTATAGGCCGTGACACGATTTCAAAGCACAATCACGAAAACAATAAACTAGTAAGCTGGACTTGCATAGGCCGAGACAAGATTTCAAAGCAAAATCACGACAACAAAAACTAGTAAGCTAGACTTGCATAGGCCGTGACAAGATTTCGAAGCACAATCACGACAACAAAAACTAGTAAGCTAGACTTGCATAGGCCGTGACAAGGTTTCAAAGCACAATCACGAAAACAATAAACTAGTAAGCTGGACTTGCATAGGCCGAGACAAGATTTCAAAGCACAATCACGACAACAAAAACTAGTAAGCTAGACTTGCATAGGCCGTGACAAGATTTCGAAGCACAATCACGACAACAAAAACTAGTAAGCTAGACTTGCATAGGCCGTGACAAGATTTCAAAGCACAATCACGAAAACAATAAACTAGAAAGTTAGACTTGCATAGGCCGTGACAAGATTTCAAAGCACAATCACGACAACAAAAACTAGTAAGCTGGACTTGCATAGGCCGAGACAAGATTTCAAAGCACAATCACGACAACAAAAACTAGTAAGCTAGACTTGCATAGGCCGTGACAAGATTTCGAAGCACAATCACGAAAACAATAAACTAGAAAGTTAGACTTGCATAGGCATGACTAGATTTCAAAGTACAATCACGAAATCAATAAACTAGAAAGCTGGGCTTGTATAGGCCGTGACAAGATTTCAAAGCACAATCACGAAAACAATAAACTAGAAAGTTAGACTTGCATAGGCATGACTAGATTTCAAAGCACAATCACGAAAACAATAAACTAGAAAGCTGGGCTTGTATAGGCCGTGACAAGATTTCAAAGCACAATCACGAAAACAATAAACTTGAAAGCTAGACAGTCTTCCCAAGCCTCTGACACAGACAGACAATGATACAGTTAATTCAAGAACATAAACATCGGTCACTTGAGCTGACAAGCTTGGGGCAACAAAGCTATCATTATTACACAAGCGCAATGAGACACTGATACAGTTATGATATATTGATTATATTTATCTACTATATATGACAGGACTGGGTGAATCTACGAGAATGTTTTGAAAGGTCAGTACGACTTGATTGTAAACTGTTTCTCGCTAATGTTGTTGGCTATTTTACTGCTAGTGTTATCATCGGCGTCATAGCTGGTCTCGTCAACTGACAGTGGGGTCGTCTTCATGTCCACCTTCTGGTCTGACCAGCTGAGGCAGATGCAAGATCCCTTGGTGATGATCTGAGGATGTGCTGCTGAGCTCTCCTCGCCATCTTTGTTTACAATGGTTTCCATTAACACTTCGACACACAGCTGTGGAAGACAAATAGAATTTGTGATAGTTCAAGATTAAAGTTAACAGTTACATTTGGGAGGATGGACTTCATTACATTAATTTAAAGTACACCGATTACTGTCAATTACTGTCTGTTCTTTTTAAATTTATTATTAATATTATTTTTAGGGGTCCACAAATCATTAGTCCGACAAAGATCATAGAAATTCGTCCGCTGTAAGAAAACATCAGCACCTGTTCAATTTAAAATTATGAAATCACAAGGACATGGGAAATAAGACCAAATGCAAACATTTGTTTTGATACGTACAGGAGTTTTCAAGATAATTGTATAGGTTTGGGGGCACGACTTTCTGAACGTACTATAGTATTATAATGCAGTACAACATACAAATAGACTTCTATGAGTTAACTAGCAAATATCTAAACTGGTTTTGCTATACAGAAATGTGGTCAAGGGCTGATAACTCTCAGAGAATAAGTCCATGGGCAGTCGCAATGAGCTTAGTTTAAAGACAAAACTGAAATTATTTATAATAGAACAATATTTTAGCAATACGAGAAAGAGTAAAGGAGTCCTTTAGTAAAAGGGTGCACGAGGCGAGAGACTGAGTTTCTTTCAAGCAGATCGTGATAAGAGCGACGTTCAAAGGGCCTACTACATTATGATGACGATGATAAAAATGAGTAAAGGAAAATGACAGCAGGAAATACACTCATAATAGAAGCTTTTCAAAATAAATGTCTACAGATAAAAGCTGCAAATATTTTGGCCAAACAAGATCACAAATGAAGAACTGCAGAGAAAAACAAAATATTAGTCATGGCAAACGCTATCAAAGGAAGAAGTCGAAGATGGCTTGAATATGTTGCCAGAATGCCTTGTGACACTTTGGCACGGGCCAGATTTCCGTGGGATGATAGATGGAAAAAAGCAGGCGTGGACGACCTAAGGAGACCTAGAGAATGACGGTAAAAACCAATATAAAATGACATGAAATTTCAAAGGCAGAAAGAAAGCAGTGGGCCAGCTACAATTGGGATCACTTGTGAATGCTTTGTGGGTAGACAGCCACACAAGCGGATAAACAAATAGACAGTCACAGATATATGCATAGCAGCATGTTCAAACTAGTTCTTGAAGTGAATCACTTGACATGACAATGGGATAGATCCCATCTTCGGTGCCTCATGCAGCTGAGCTTTTGTCCTGCATAAGCCATTTTGTGGAGAGAGATAGAGCCAGATAGGATAAAACCTAATAAAATGAAACCATGTTTCCACTATAAAAAAAAAAAAAAATGCAAAGACTAACCTTTTCCTCTGGCTTGAGAACTCCTCCTTCCTCTTCCAAGTTGAAGGCTTCTTGCAGGTTGTCCACTTCCACGATGTAGCCTGTACGCTGGTCAGACTTTCTCTTGAAAGTTACTGGGACAATGCCTGATTGGTGCCAACAAAAGTGATAGATTATATAAAAACAGAACTCTCAAATATAGCAATATAAATTGCATCAATTATAGCAATATCTGGGAACTACATTTACCGAAGATGGGAAATTGGATAAAGAAATTAACATTAAATGCAGTAAAGCAAACCAAGTATTGGAACAGCTAGCACCCTTCTTACAGCATAAGACAATCCCAATCAGCACAAAGAGACATCTTATTTCAAAGCAGCTATGATATTCCAACTCTGTCTGCTACCTTGTCGGGGACATGGTCACTCACAACAAACCATAAAAGAAAATTAGTAACCATAGAAATGAGATGCATGAGAATGGCTGTAGGACCATAAGAGACAAGATCAGGAATGAGATCATAAGAGAAAAAGTCGGCACAGAACCAATTCTAAATTACAAAGACAGCAAGTAAAATGGTTTGCCCACTTAGAGAGAATGCCTTGTGACACCATACCATACAAAGCATACATGGAAAGAGAAGAAGGACGTAGAGCACGAGGTAGACCAAGAACAAGATCAAAGGATAACATCAGAGAAACTCTGCAACAGCACAATGTGCCTATGGTTGAGGCGGCCAGAAGAGCTAGAAACAGGACCTTTTATCTCCCTCGACACCCACAGCGGTAAAAGAAGAAGTGAAGAAGAAGAAGAAGAAGAATTATAGCAATATAACAAAGAAAAATCACAGATAGCAATATAGAACAGAACTATCAAAAATAGCAATATGAACTACCTCAAATATGTCCATTTAGAACGAAACTATCAAATATAACAAAAAACTATCAAATTATAGCACTGTCATGGGGACTTCCATTTTCAAGATGGCCAGAATTAGCCGTGTTTTTTCTCGGTAGCTGTGACTTCCCTGGCATTATTATGTTCCCATGTCGCGGATTTCTAGTTTGTGCGCATTTTACAATGCAGGATGCATTGTATCTTTTATGAGGGCAGCGCATGTTGTAGATGTGCTTTGTCGAAGCGGGATGACGACCGACACATATAGTAGCACTGTGTTTACGCGATATTTTGATCACTGCAGCACACTATCTGGGAAGACAGAATCTCATCCGCTGGTTTCGCTAATTTCTTCAGAGCATACTCAACTAACTTTAAAACTATACTTAAACTAACTTTAAAATTATACTCAACTAACTTTCAAATTATACTCAACTAACTTTCAAATTATACTCAACTAACTTTCAAATTATACTAACTAACTTCAAAATTATACTCAACTAACTGTAATATTATGATCAACTAACTGTTATATTATACTCTGGTAAATTTATTATTATACACAGTTAACTTTAATATCAATAACATCTCAATAACATTTAGTGCTATGTGACATGTGTACACAACCAGTACTGCGCTAAAGCTGTCCATTCTTCAGTATTTACCTTTAGGGTTAAAGAGTGTTGTCCGAATCTCAAACTCCATAGAGTAGCATTCCTCCTTGGCCAAGAGTTGTGCACGGGCTCTCCATGATGGCAACACTTCAACCTGGAGATATTCTCGAACAGATGACACGTTTCGTTTCTTTCAGTCTCAGACAAGTGTTACTTAAACTTATTCTATCTAATAAGTTATTATTTTAACTTTTTTTTCGAAGACAATACACACATTCTTGTCTCTCTTCTATCACATATAGTTGCCATATTACTTTTTTAAAACACTGGAATAGCGTACACAAAGAAGGGAGGGGGGAAAAACTGACATTTTAACAGATATGAACGTCAAGGAAGATTGGCTAATAAACAGCACCTTGTCTCGGAAGTTGAAATATTTTGGTTATATCAAGCGCCATGGTTGATTAGCAGAAGGCATGGTATCAGAAAGGAGGAGCAGGGACCGACCAATACGAAGATTGGCGCAGGGTATAAATGACTTCTTGGATATGAAAATGCACGAGGCTGGAGAGCTGGCGAAAGACCTAGTTTCTTTCAGTCAGACCGTGATAAAAGCGACGTTCTGCAAAGCACATGCTACATAATGATGATATTGAAATTGTTAGTTTTACTCCTTCTGTCATTAGTGTTATTATTTCAACTTGTTTGGACCTCAACATTGACTAATTTAAACTACAGTTTATAGGGATAGAAAGGCTTAATTAAATTAAGGACGGTTAGCAACAGTCAGCTGCTAAATTGTAGGATCTAAAGGAGTTAAAATGATGAAATTATGAGACATAAAGTAGTTGAAATAATAACTAGGGTAGAGTGATTCAGTGTATCAACAAGATCATCATCATCATCATCAAGTGCCTTGCCAGCTTCACAGATTTAGGTCTCTAGTGTTCTGAATCAATTCCACCGATGGTATTCCTCCATGCCACAGTCTTAACCCATACACCATCATTTCTCTTGGTCGTTCTCTGCCTCTTTTACCAGTGATCTTGCCAGTGGTCACGATATTTGCCAGTGCTTCTTTTCTCATCACATGACCAAAGAACTTTGTCTCCTTCTCGTGTTGTATATAATATTCTACTTTCATTAGCCATTTCCAGGCAATTATTATTAGTTTTTCTGGCAGTCGAAGATATTCGCAACATTCATCTCAAGAATCACATCTCATTGGCCTCCAAGCTCAACAAGATGGCAGGCATTATTAAGAAAAGTACACCATGCGATTAGAAACAATAAACACACATAGTGAGTTGCTTCGTACTGAATGTAAGTAACTCTTCTTCATCATTTTCTCTCCTACCTCACTTCCGCTTCGAGAAATATAAAGTTCTGCTTCATTCACTTTTAGTCACCTAGATCAAAACACATCTTGCCGTTGAAGAAGTTGTCTGATTTTATCTTTCTATGTGTATCTTTTTTTTAAAAACTAAGCCCAGATCGTCCCGCCAATACTCAACAACAAAACAGTTACGAGACATTGTTCCATTCGACGTTGAGTATTGACGGGACGGTGTGGGCCTACTTACGTGTTGGTTCTGGGAGCTTCCTTCGAAGTCGGAGTACATTAGCCTGAGAGGCAAGGAACTAACAGTCTGCATACAAATGAGTCAGACATGTGAAACTAGTGTGCAAGCAAAATTCAGTTTCTGGAACAGGATTAGAGTGCAGAAGTGGACCAACAACCAGAACTTTCTCCCGGAGTTTACAGCCGTGAGCGCAAAGAAGACGAAGAATTACCTGAGAATTCACCTCCCAAGTCAACTTTTCTTTGAAAACTTGACCTTTGACTTTGTTTAGGCTCAAGCAGTTGTCTCTGCCAGCCCTAAATTTGCTGAAGTTTGGCGGAATATTGACCTCAACAGAAACCTGCAGACGATCATAACAGTGCATTTATTAGTTCCTTATAGGTGTATAATTGGACAGCCGCCATAATGGAGCGGCTAGACGCTTGCATGCGGATCAGAAGATCGAGGGATCAAGTCCGCAAGGTGCTGGCTTTTTTTTTTCTTCATGCATGTGACTTTGGCTCCAAAGACGACCCAGTCTTCAATGTGTAAAAGCCAGAGTCCCGAGAAGTTAAGCGGCTGTCTTAATGCTGACCACACTTCCCTCTGAGTGTCCATTAGTTTAAACATATAGTTTGAGTACTGTATGCCTAAAATGCCTAAAGGTGTGGAAAGGGATCCTGACTTTTGTTGTTTGTATAAAGTAAAAGTAAAGATCCCTTTTCAAGCCTTTTATCGCATGAGGCATATGGGAAGAGCACCCATATTTTTACAAACCAATCGGCACTAGTTGGGCAATGTGGTCAGCATTACGTCAGCCGTCTTTACTTCCCCAGGACAGCCATCCTGGTACCAATTTTAGGCTGGGTCGGCCTGCGACGCCCTATACTATGATAAAAATCCACGTAGCCAGCATTGGGTTTCGATCGCGGTACGTTGGGATTACAAGTCGGACTCGCAACGTCTAAGCCACGGAGGGTGCATTTGTGTTTAACTATCACTAAACTACTAAAAGATGTTAATGCTAATAACAGTTAAGATAATAACATTGTTGAGAAGGATGAAAATAATAATTAAAACGATCATTAACTCTTTCAGGTCGTGACACGTATTTAACTAGTTACAGCCGAAGAGATTGTTACTTTGCCTGACAGGTTCTTCAATCTGAATATGTTAAAATTGAAATATGAGAAGGAAGGAATTAAAATACTCAATCTGGCAACTGATTTTGTTATGGCCAAGACAAAATCGTCATGTATGAACCAAAACATGAGATCTAAACAGCGTCCTTTATCTTTGATTTGCCGAAACTGAAACACCCAGTAGTCAGAACACAGCAAAGTGAGTATACAACAGTTATCTCGCCATTGTTTTTAGCAGAAATTCCCAAACTGTGCGAAACGGCACCCCGAGGGAGCCGCGACCTCTTCACAGGGGCGCCGCGAAATATTGTAAAAGCTTGATAATTAATTTAACCAAGACACGAATAGTCATACTTTTACTTAGGTTAGGGGGCCGTGGAAAACTTTTTACTGAAAAAAAAAAAAAAAAACAATAGGCGCTGCGACCAGGAAAACTTTGGGGAAACACTTGTGTATAGCTATTGAGAGTTGCGTGGTTACGGTGTAGCATAGGACAAGGAGCTAACATTAAAGTTCTGTTTTCAGTTTCGAAAGTGTTATGGAGACAGTCAAGGTTGGATTAGGACTTAATAACGCTCTAAGTTATATACAGCCTTGAGCTGATGAATGTGCTGCTGCAAGTGGTGATAATTTTTGGTGTCGATTAAAAAAATATGCTAATGATAATAATAAGGATGATGACATATAAAATAAGGAAGATGATGATAATGATAAAGAAGTAGATGTGAATGATGATAGACAATTGTTGATGGCTGTGTAATGTAAAAGGCAAACCTCTTTATTAATGGTGTAGCACTGAGTCAAGTCAACGTCCACCCAAGTGGTGGTGTCTCGGGAGCCTCTGAAAGTGTGGCTCTGCTTGCTGTTGGCCTTGTTGTCAAAGTCGCACGACCACAGCGACACCCATCTGGAACCTGTGGGCAGAAAGCAAATCATCCTTGTTGTCCTTATCGCCAGGGCTTTTCTTTTTTGGCAGTACACAGTACCCGCACTTTAATTTACGCATCATTATTTCCAGCAGTAATGTTATAGATTTATAGACATGTTGCGGTGAATGAAAGCATTTAACAAAATTCTTTTTACAACTTTGTGGTGAGTAATGGCATCTTTTAAAATTAAAAAAAAAAAAAAAAAAACATGATTATCTTCGTCACAATAATATTTAAACATGTTTCCGTCCTCGTCATTTTTCTTCTTCTCCTCCTCACCTTCCCACGTCTCCTCCTCTTTCTTTTTCAGTTTTACAATATCTATCTATCTATCTATCTATCTATCTATCTATCTATCTATCTATCTATCTATCTATCTATCTATCTATCTATCTATCTATCTATCTATCTATCTATCTATCTATCTATCTATCTATCTATCTGTCTGTCTGTCTGTCTGTCTGTCTGTCTGTCTGTCTGTCTGTCTGTCTGTCTGTCTGTCTGTCTGTCTGTCTGTCTGTCTGTCTGTCTGTCTGTCTGTCTGTCTGTCTGTCTGTCTGTCTGTCTGTCTGTCTGTCTGTCTGTCTGTCTGTCTGTCTGTCTGTCTGTCTGTCTGTCTGTCTGTCTGTCTGTCTGTCTGTCTGTCTGTCTGTCTGTCTGTCTGTCTGTCTGTCTGTCTGTCTGTCTATCTATCTATCTATCTATCTATCTATCTATCTATCTATCTATCTATCTATCTATCTATCTATCTATCTATCTATCTATCTATCTATCTATCTATCTATCTATCTATCTATCTATCTATCTATCTATCTATCTATCTATCTATCTATCTATCTATCTATCTAATCTGTCTGTCTGTCTGTCTGTCTGTCTGTCTGTCTGTCTGTCTGTCTGTCTGTCTGTCTGTCTGTCTGTCTGTCTGTCTGTCTGTCCATATTGCATTATCAATTTATTATTAAACAAGGTGTGTATGATATGTATGTTTGCGCGCGCGCGCGTGTGCTTGATATGTATGTATGTGTAGGCGTGTTTGTATATATATGACTCTGAGTATGTTGTTTGTCTGCTTGTGAATATGCGTGTGTGTCTGCGAACGTATGCGTCTGTGTCCTTGTGTTTGTGCGAATGTGTGTGTGTTCGCGCGTATGTCCACGTGTATGTTTCAGTGTGAACTGGTTTCTGTGTGTTTAAGTGTGCCTCTTTGCTGTGTATGTGTGTCTGCATGTGTGTGTGTGCGATTGGATACATGTAGCTGTGAATATGTGTCTGTGTGTGTGTCTCTGTGTTTGTCTGAAGTGTGTGTGTCGCGGTGTTTTTCTGCATATTTGATGTGACTGTGTGTATATCTTCGTTTGTGTCTGTGTGTGTCCCCGTATGTGTTTGTCTTCATGTTTGCCTGTGTATGTTTATGTGTTTTGTCTGCGGGTGTGTCTATGAGGCTGTATGTATGTATCTCTGTGTGTGGGTGTCTGTATGTCTGTCTGCGTGAGTGTATGTGTCAGCATGTGTCTGTATGTCTGTGCATGTCTATGTGTGTTTCTCTGTGTGTGTTGTGTGTGCCCATTTGTTGTCTGTATGTGTCTGCATGTCAGAGTACATGTCTGTGCGTGCTGAATATATGTGTCTGCGTGTGTATTTCTATGTGTTTGTATGTGTATGCATTTCTGCGTGTTTGTCTCTGTGGGTGTCAGTATGTGTTTGTCTGCCTGTTTGTCTGTATTTGTGTGTGTGTGTGTTTGACTGCGTGTGTGTCTATGTGGCTGTATGTATGTGTCTGCGTATGTGGTGTGTGTGTGTCAGTGTGTGAGCACGAATGTAAATATGTGTGCTGTGTGTTTCCCTGTGTGTGTTTATATGTAAGTGTATGTGTGTGTGTCTGTATTTTTGTCTGAGTGTGTGTGTCTCTGTGGGAGTGTCCGTGTGTGCATGTGTGTGTCTCCATGCATGACTGTATTTATGACTGTATGTGTGTATGCCTGTATTACGTATGTATGTATGAATGTATGTATGTATGCATGTATGTTTGTATCTATGTATGTATGTTTGTGTGTACGTATGCCTGTGTGTATGCATGTTTGTATGTATGTGTGTATGTATGTGTGTATGTAATGTATGCATGCATGTTTGTGTGTGTAAGTGATTGGGTGAGCGTGTGTATGTGGGTGTATGTATGCACGCGCGGGTTTTTGCATGCACTTTACAACTCATGCTTTTGTGTTCTTTTATAATATTCATAATATGCATAACATCATATGATCATAACATGCTTTATTAGTAAAACACAACTGCTGTGCGAAAGATGGTTGACTGGAAGGGCCGAATGTAAGACGGGCCTGCGTGCCCAATTTGTGACCCTTTGAAAATAAAGTTCGTTCGTTCGTTCTGTCTGTCTGTCTGTCTGTCTGTCTGTCTGTGTCTGTCAGCATCACGCCGGCCGCTTTACTTTCCATGACTCCACCTGGTACCCATCAAAGGGTGGGTCGAACTGGGAACCAAGAACACACAATCGGTCTCAGCAAAAAACCCAGACATGCACACGCAAGGTTTACCTACTGTCACCTTTCCCCAGTTGGTTTCAATCAGAGTGCCGTCTTTTTCCTTTGGTGCAAATTTGACCAGCTTGTGTTCAATGCTTAGTGCTGACCAGTCGATCTCACAGAAGTAGTCTTCTTCGCTGAGAAAAGCCCGTCGAATAAAGTTTGATTTTCTGGAATAGAGAGATGTGACTGGAGCAATACAATTTACAAAACATTGCGGGGTAAAAATAGAACAAAGAAGTAAAGGACCCTTTTCACCGCCTTTAGGCGTATAGGGCACATAGGGCTAGACCTATATTTTATAGACCAACTGCAGAAAATGGGTGATGTGGTCAGCATCACGCTGGCCGCCTCTACTTCCCGAACATTGCGGGGTACCTTGTGCTTTTGCCCTTTACGTCCTATTGAGGCACATATCATCATCACCATGCACTGTGGTAAAAAGCAAAGGCTGTCATGTTTCGCTATCTCAAACGATCAAAAGAACCACGGATCAACTTTTGTCTCGTCTCATCTATATGATCAAGCCGTCCAGGTATTTATCTCTTCATCTTTCTCTTGCTCCCTTACCAAGTTGTTGAGTCCATTCTTGATATAACACGTCCCCTTAAACACCAACTATCTACGTCTTATTGTTTTTCCTCGCGCTCTGAATGTCGTAGGTATGTTTCAAGGCAGCGCCTTTCAGTTTTTTGAGTTCGATTTTTACTGAGATCCCTGGAGATCGTCGTCGGAGCTACGGAGGTCATGCTCCTTGCGACGCTATCGGCAGGCAATTAGCTGTTCTGCGGAGAGAGACCTAAGCATATGTGATAAAACCCGTCGCAATGAAGTCGATCCTCTCATCTTTACTTTAATAAACAGATGGGGAACCCTTGATGTTGTTAAATATTAAATAATTAATAATAAATTAACTGACAATGTATTGATCTACACTCATAGACAGAAGTAATTTACCTCGAGTTTCAGACTCTTCTATCTCATACGCTTTCTTAGGTGTTATAGTCACTTATACGAGTGCCTTGCCCGGCTCTCTAGCGAAGTTGGTTAAACCTGACTTTCGCGGCGGCCGGGTGACGAACTCCTTGTGGTCCGGGTTCACTCCCGGGAGTAGGCAGAAAAGCCACATTTCTCCCAGATTAACGGTACCTATAATGGAATCAATGCCGAAGGGTTGCGATATCCATAGTACCGAGCCAAAGGGTTTACAACTCATGGTTTCTGGATACGTAAAAAAAAAAAAAAAAAATACGAGTGCCTACCATTCTATGATAGTCTCTGCATTCGTCTCAAAGACCACAGCCCTGTTGCTAGTAAACGTTTTTCAGCATGTCTGCTTAATTTATGTGTCTTTCATGCATTTAACACCAAGCTTCTTGAAAGAACTTTTAACTTTTAGCCCATAATCTTACGTCCCATTAAAGCTTTTCTATATTTTGTTGTCTCTGTCAGTTCCTCCCGTATCCTCGTTAATGTTAGTTATCATTGTTTCTTTTAATCAGTGGATTCTAAAACAAAAAAGTGACTTCACTGTCCTCATCTTCTTCTTCCTCCTTCTCCTATTTTTGGTCTTATACTTCTTCTTCTTCTTCTTCTTCTTCTTCTTCTGCTTCTGCTTCTTCTTCTTTTTCTTTTTCTTCTTCTTCTTCTTCTTCTTCTTCTTCTTCTTCTTCTTCTTCTTCTTCTTCTTCTTCTTCTTCTTCTTCTTCTTCTTCTTCTTCTTCTTCTTCTTCTTCTTCTTCTTCTTCTTTTTCGCAATCGTCGTCGTAGTCGTCTCATCGTCGAGTTACCTCCCTTCTTTATTGCTAACTCTCATCTTGCATTGAAGCCTTGTTCTCAACACGTTCGTTACTGTTTGTTTTAGAGAGCAACGATTTTTTTTCGCAATAAAAGACAGTTGAGTCACCTTAGACACCTGTTGCGACATGCTTGAAGGTTACAGTGTTAATAATTTATGATTTCCTTACGACATGTAACACACACGCTAGAGCTCACAATTGTCAATTATGGTAATTTAAAAGATCTGAACGTTAAGAAAGATTAGCTAAAAAACAGCATCGTGACTCGAAAGCTGACATATTTTGGTCAAGCGTCACGGCGGATTTGAAAAAAAAAAAAAAAAAAATAGCAGTAGGCATGGTACCAGGAAGGAGGGGCAGGGGCCGACCAATACGAAGATGGGCACAGGATAAGTGACTCCTTGAATGTGAACCTACATGAGGCAGGAGAGCTGGTGAGAGACCGAGTTTCTTTCAGGCAGACCGTGATGAGAGCGACGTTCTGCAAAGGAACTGCTCTTTGATCATGGTGATGATTTGATTTGATTTGATTTGATTCAAGAACCGACATCACATCCCTCGGGGCATTCCCACAAGCGCTCCGTCCCCATCTTCAGCGGCCAGCGAAGAGTTCCGATACTAATAGTGCCAGTAGCTGGTGATGAAATAATATCTAATATATCTGTGTCTGGGCAGCGGAATTGTTACATGATTTATGTATTACTACATTTATATATTTATATTACTTTTTGAGGAGGCTCCAGGCATAGCGTCGGATAACATCATCAAGCTCCAGCAGGGACGTGGACATGGCTTGAGTTCCTGTAGGTTGATAGGGGTGAGTTCGAATCTAGTGTTTGTTCCTAGCGCAAACTTGTTTCATCAGAAGGCTATACCAATCATCTGTACATGGTTAAATCGAAGCAACAGTTTATAAACATTTTAACTAACACATTTATTAGGGGTAAGTTCGTCGCTCTACTTCTTCTTCTTTCGTTCGCCTGAAATAAGTTATCTATATCAGCAGTTTTGTCTCTTGTATACATTTCCTGCCGTTGTTAGTTCATTTAGTGGTCCATAGAGTTTACGTTCCACTGTTGTTCTTTCTGGACAAAAAGGTTTGCCTTAATGTGTCAAAATCGGTGCAGTCCTGCAGTACATGCTCTGCTGTCTGGGGCACATTTCCACAGGTGCACATGGCTGATACACCTATCTTGAATTTTGTGTACATGTGGCTACGTAATCGGTTGTGCCCTGTTCTGAGGCGGAGGATAATGACTTGTTCTGGTCTGTCCATAATAGGTGGTTTCCTGATCGATTTAATGATTCTTTTCGTTTGGTGGTATGTGACTGGTACATCCGGCTGCTCTTTTGTCGCACCTTCCCCTGCCAGTTGATCAGCTTTCTCATTTCCAGGCACTCCACGATGAGATGGTATCCACTGCATTATGTTCGTCGTTAATAGTAAGCATGTTACGTTAAGCAGTTTTTAAAAAAAAAGGTGAAGGACCCTTTTCCACGCCTTTAGGCGTATTGGATTTATAGGGCTAGACCTATATTTTATAGACTAATTGGCACTACGTGGGTTGTGTGGTCAGCATCAGGCCGGTCGCCTTTACTTCCCAGGACTGCACCAGGTACCCACTCTAGGCTGGGTCGACCTGGGAGCCAAGGTCATTTTTGAAAAAAAGTCAGACTCCGTCAGTACCCGAACCCACGACCTTCTGATCCGCAGGCGGTTGACTCATTGCGACACCACGATGACGACAGTGAGCAGTACAAAACTGTATTTATACATAAAAGAACAGGTGAAAAGGGACGGGAGAAAGAGAGAGCGAGAAATAGAAGGGGGAGATTAGGAGTTCGAAGGAGGAGAAGAAGAAGAAGAAAGGTGAAGTATTTAAATGAGGAAACAGATACGAAGGCGGGACATAGAGTGAGAAAGAAGGAAGATTGACACAGAGATAAACATTGAGAGATGGGGGAGAGTGAGAACACAAGGCCTTAAGTGACAAACAGAGAGGAGGAAAGACATGGATAAATACAAACATAGAATGGGAAAGACAGAAGAGAGAGAGAGAGAGAGAGAGAGACCCAGCTTTATACACATATACACACACACACACATATATATGTGTGTTTGTGTGTGTGCGTATTAAGCTTGGTCTCTTTCTCTCTCTCTCTCTCTCTCTCTCTCTCTCTCTATATATATATATATATATATATATATATATATATATATATGGAGAGAGAGAAAGAGAGAGAGACTAAAAGAGAGCAGTGGGAGAGAAAGAACTGCGGTGAAAAAATAAAAGAGAGCAAGTCTGCGTCACGTAGAAAGACTAGAGACAGATACAATCAGACAAAGCGTGGGGCCGTGAACAAAAAAAAAAAAGGGGGGGGGGTGGGGATAGAGAGAGACAGAGAGACAGACAGACAGACAGACAGACAGACAGACAGACAGACAGACAGACAGACAGACAGACAGACAGACAGACAGACAGACAGACAGACAGACAGACAGACAGACAGACAGACAGACAGACAACAGCTGGCACCAAAAGTAAAACAGTCATTGAAGGACAGGTAGGTTTAAATTATTCATACTAGTCATATACACACAATATTCAAGCAACAAGACATTCACAGCATGGATATCCTATCGCTGTCAAGGTTATTCATAACCAACACAAATGCCAATATTCCTTTGTTGCCAACGTCACTACCACATCCACGAACAGCTAAATGTATCATGAACTACAGTTTGATATAATAGGACATCATTAGGTGGACAATAATGACTATAATGTGTTAATGAGCATTAACATAGAAATAACAACGCTGGCGAATTTGTGGTTAAGGCCAGCTTGTATGCATGTGTAGTTACGTTATAAAAAAATCGCTTAAATATCATTCATGAGTTTTGTTTAACAGTAGCAATAGTAGAGAGAACAGTTGTATATATATTATTATATATATATATATATATATATATATATATATATATATATATATATATATATATATATATAAGTAAAAAAAAAAGTAAAGTTCCCTTTTCACGCCTTTCGGCGCATCGGGCATATGGGCAGAGCGTCCCATATTTTTACAGACCATCAGCACTCTGTGGGTAATGTGGTCAGCATTACGCCGGCTGTCTTTACTTTCCCAGGACAGCCCATCCTGGTACCCATTTTAGGCTGGGTCGACCTGCGACGTCCCATACCACGACAAAAATCCACGCAGCCTGCAGTGGGTTTCGATGGCGGTATGCTGGCTTGCGAGTCGGACTCGATTCAAGATTTAAAGGTCCCTTCTTCACACCCTTAGACGTATTGAAAATACAGGGCTAGACCTATGCTGATATAGACCAATCTTCACTTTGTGGGTGATTTGGTCAGCCTCACTCTGGCCGCCTTTACTTCCTAGGACTGCACCTGGTACCCACTCAAGGCTCTGGGAGTCAAGGTCATTTTTAAAAAAAGTCTGGCTTCTTCATGGACGCGAACCAGCTAATCCGATCCGAAGGCGGGCGATTTGCCGCCAACGCCAAGGCGACTCCCAAACTTCAAAATATACACTTTTTAAATATACGGATAATAGAAAAATACTGTCGTTTCGTGTTTATAAAAATAAATAATAAAGAATGTGTTCACAAGTAAAACAGAGAAATGTACATTTTATAATGCCCTAAAAGGCTCTAAATGAAATATTTTAATATTTTCTCCCTTCCCCCCCCCCCCCCCCGCCCTCCTAACATGCATTTGTGAAATAATTTAAAAAAAATTTTTGAGGCCCCTATATACATATTGTGAGGCCCTTAGCTATATATCGCCTAGCTTATGCGTAAATTCAGCGCACTATGTATGTGTATATGTATGTGTAAATGTATATATATATCATATATTATATTAAATATATATATATATATAATATATATATATATATATATATATAAATAGACACACACATATATACTGTTATTTCTATTTTAAGTTTATCATTTGAAGACCCCCCCCCCCCCCTCCCCCGTCTGCTCACTGGGCTGAACATCTTCCACCATAATGATTTCTTAGAAGAAGAAGAAGGTGTAGAGGTTAGACGCTCGTGGTGCTAACCGCATCACCCACCAAGTGCCAATTAGTCTATAAAATATAAGTCTAGACCTATATGCCCAATACGCCTGAAGGCGTAGAAAAGGGTCCTTTCACATCATTTCCCTAGTTTAATCTGAATGCCTACGGGTGCCAGTCATGTCAGTGTAAGAACCATTGAAGGCAACTTAACTTTACCGTCTCCAAAATTCCAGAATTCGCGGGAAAAGTCTGCTGAGGTTAGGGCTAACAAACTGGTGAGGGGCGGGAGAGGGCGGGGAAGGGGTCGGGACATTCTTGTGCTGGTCACGTGAGAGGATCACGAGGAAATTTGTCAGAAAAGTCGAAGAAAAAAAAGAAACACATCTGGTCTCACACAAAGAGAAAGAGACGCTGATTAAGATGGAGAGAGAAAGAGGGCAGAGAGAAAGAGAGAGAAGAGGTAGAGAGACAGAGAGACAGAGAGAGAGAGGCAGAGAGAGAGAGAGAGAGATAGAGCGTGGAGGATGATGAGACAGAGAAATAATTGAAAGATGAAATAAATAACAGGAATAAATGAAAAATGAAAAAAAGAGTTAAATAAGAAGAGTTAAATCCAACATCACATCCATCCATACATACATCAGATCAAGCATATCCATCGATCCTCCATCCATCCATCAGACATCCAGACAGACAGACAGACAGTACAGACATCCATCCATCCAGACAGCAGACCACAGACAGACATACACCCACATACACACATACATACATACATACAACATACACACATACATCCCACACATCCATACACACATACATACATACATCACATACACACACACATACATCCATACATACATACACCGCCATCCATACATCCATACATACATACATACATACATACAGACGACTTAATACATACATACAGACAACAGACACACACAGACAGACAGACAGACAGACATCGCATACACGCACATACAGCACAGACGACACACGCACATACGCGCAGACAGACACGACAGACAGACAGACAAGGACAAACAGAACAGACAGACATACATACAATACACAAATACACATAACAGACACACATACAGTACAACACACACACATACAGACATACAGAGAACATACAAACGAAACAGACAGACAACAACAGACAGACAGACAGACAGACAGACAGACCGGACAACAGGCAGGGCAAATAGGCAGGGATACAGGAAGAGAGTGGGCCAGAAGCAGAGAGGGTTTCGACCAAACCCAAAGAGAACAGATTTAAAATAAAATGGAGGTGGATCAAGAAACAATTAAAGAAAGGAGTTGGCTATCTCCTTCTCCAAAGCCTCCCCCCCCCCTTAAAAAAATTTAGCATGCACGGGGGGGGGGGGAGGAGGGGAAGGGTGGGCTGCTCTGGGAACACAGTCCTAGCTTGATAGTTTAATAGTATTAATTACTGGTAAAAAGATATGAGAGTATACTTTTAAAAAAAATAGGAAAGGTATGAGCGCACCATTTTAAGGAGAATTTCTTTCGACATTTCAGGGAATCACTTAGCACTACCACCCCCACTACACAATTGTTTGTTCAATGTGGGAAAAGGAGAGGGTAGGGAGAGAAGAATCAAGGGGTCTAACCCCGCTCCCTCCCCCGCCCCCCTTCCCCGGGGTCCGACACCTAAAACTAAACAACAACAACAAAAAACTAATATTGATATTGCTAGGATTGGTAT